GTCAACGTGTATTGGTCGTGATAGAAAAAAAAGGGATGGATTCCCTCTTGTCGGGGAGTGTCAATGTAGTTGGAGACTGAACGATCAACTCATGCTTGCTTGCTCAAACTGAACTCCGTATTTTTCACGAGAGTCATCAATACGGCAGTCATCGTCCCATCGTTCGCTGTTCGTTGAAAGAGAGAAAATTATCAGAAATGTTATTGTGATTTATTTTTATAACATTTATTTTAGGCCTTTGTAATAACCTTATTGTTGTTTATATGTTGGCGTAAAAATAAAGGATTCTTGAGTAGCGAAACAGTGTTGCGCAGAACTGCCAACAGAATTGGTGGAGCCATCAGTAGGCGAATATTGGGAATTGCAAGTCGGGGTCATTCGTACGATAATCTCCGATACTGTCCACCAAGTCAGACTACAAAATAGAAACAAATCCTCATGGTCGAATTGAGGCACTCAGCCATTCTGCAAGCAGTGCGGAACACTTGGTTTTTACGGTAACGCTCCAAGAGCTCTACTGACTATGGGGCATATCCAGAACTCCAAAAACCATGCAGCAACGGGGCGAAGAGTAAGAGGGGATAGCCTTGGACATATCTTGCCAGAAAAATCCTGGTAGGCGCCAGACGCATTCACCGACTCATTTCGGAAGGGAAGCATTTCGACTAGGGGGCTTACACCTCAGGATGTTCAAGTAGTTAACTTCTCACAATTTTCAAAATGGCTGAAATGCTCCGTTAGCCATTTGTCAGACTACTTCATGATACTTCGAGTAATTCTCCTACAATCTGTATGGACCATACTGCTAGTCTAACTAGAGAAAACTTGTAATAGAGTATCGGTGACTTGTGTTTCTAGTCCAGGACGCGCCTATACACAAGATACTGTAACTTACAAAACAGTCGAGAATATTTCCTGCACTGTGATAGACAGAAAGATCAGATTTATTAGCAGCAAAAACCACAACAGCGACAGTCTTCTAATCATCCAAAATAAAGATTGATATCATTTACAATCCACTGTAATTCAGGCTGCAGATGAATAATCAGTGTTTGTATAATTATATAAGCACTTATCATCGTCAGTTATGAAGTCACGGTTGATACATTCATTGACATGATGGACTGATTGACGGGGCATGATGGGTTTGGTTCCAAGGATTTGAAAGCTCACATGGTCTCCGCACTCGTTTACAAGACAACGTGTTAGAAGATTTGATTGTATTCGGCATTGGGGACACTTTAAAACTATGATACCTAACCGGTGGGCCAACTCTGCTTCTGATCAGTTATTCAATAATGATAATCAATGTCTTTGTTCATCTTACTCTGAACATAGTACGCCTAAGAAGACCTTCGGAACGTCATGAAGCTTGAAAGCGCTATTACGGTTGACAGAATTGCCAACGTCCTCTTCATTCATCAGTAGTCGATGCACTCCAACTAAACCACCGCTTCCGTTCCCAACTCTAGCACAGCCCGATTTTGTATGTTTCTTTCGAACATCTGAAACATAATCGTTTCTACCTCACGACTTGTGATCTACCTGATGGAGAAAATTAACACATTCATTAAGTCCATGCACGTCACCGTAGATCACACACTTACATGAAAATTCACTGCCATAAATACCCTTCACCACACATGATTCTGCCTCACTGACTTTTCAATATCAGCATTGGGATGTAGTATACTGGCACACTTTCTCGTTGTTTGTTTGGCATTAACTTTCATCAGCCTGAATGTACCACCAAACCCTGGTTCCAAACCTTCCTGTTCTATATTCCATTAAACCTAACATTTTATAGCTCTTTATGAGTTTGATTCGACTTATTCTATTCCTATTCTCTGGAGGGTACGGTTGTGCACCAAATAGACAAAAAGGCATGAAATAAAAACAACTGGCTTGAAAATAATTGTATTAAAGCCAAAAGTGGACATCATGATAGTACAAAATATATTGGTTTTATTATACATTGCAAATGAACGTTGTCGGCCTAAGGATTAATTACTTCCCCATTCTGTTTTCTACATAAATGTGTTTATTAATGATATATTTCACTCACTTAATCTATTACACTTTAATGATTCACCTTAGCACTTTAACTTTTCTAAAAAACAGCTTCCAATCCCTTGTAAACATTGTACTTACCTCAATATTGGTTGGTTATCGTATGCCTACAACCACGGGATGAAAACGAAACGAAGTCGATTTTCCCGCTCAACCTGGAGGACAACTGTACAATTCAATAACTATACAGCCTGGTTCAGACAATGAGTGTAATTATATATATATATCAAATATTTAACTGTTGAAACATTATTAACTTGTAGACAATTTAAGATTTGACATTATAACATACTTGATCGTGCCCACAAAAATGGCATGCATTTTCATGTAAATTTATGTTTATATGAAAATAAAATTATTATTATTATATGGACCTCAACTTTACCCACTTTGTCACTGAGTAGATAAGTTTCTGAAGATATCTTCGAGGACAAAACTTGAATCCAAGTCATCTATGCAATTCAAGACGTCAAAGTATTCTTTTACACCATCAAGTTATCTAAAAGCGAGGTAAGGCCTTTGAAATCATCAATTAACTGAAACCCATAGACCCTAAAAATTTCAAAGACGCGTCAAGGAATCACGGAAGGCCTTCCAAATCATTGTTGTAATATACGCCCTTCGTCATCACACCCCTGATTCGGAGGTAAGAATTTACGATGATGCAGTTCGCCAGCCATAGCATCAGTATAGTGTCTTAATAAATACATCATCCTTGTTTTGTCATTAAGTCAGAAGTCGCTAGGCATAACTTCGATCCTCTCGCAAAGTGCAGATAGTCCCCTCGATTTCAGTGGCAGCTCAATGTATGTAAGCTTTAAGAAAATCCCCCCTAGCTAAAAGAACATGATCCTCTATTTTATCAGCCATGACCCCATACGTCTTATCGAACACAATAAGCAGCTAATTATGAGTACTTGTCGCTTCATTCATTCTTTCATCCAGACATAACTGAACGTCACACAAACACTGAGAGTGTATGTTCCAGGTAACACCTCATGTTCTCCTCCAGCCTTCAACGAGGCATCGTACAGCTAGTCCATTGCCGAGACTTTTGTCGCCTACCGAGATGAAGATCCACTCAGAAAGACTTAGAGGCTGATAGCAAGAAATATGCTAAAGTGAGATCTAATACCCACATTATTTATTCCGCGTTGACCAAGGGCAACGCAAAACACCAAATTGATCGTTCAAATTACGAGTTAAATTTCGGGACCAAATCGGAGTGCGAGATAATCGTGCTTAAACGAACTAACGTGACACGACAGAGTGCCAAATGGCGTAGATGCTTGACCCGAAAGCCTTCAAATGAATAATGAAGTTCACTTAAAGAGTGGGGTCAGCATCCAGCGTTCAGCGATGAATGCTGTGGCCAAAACTTCTAGGGAATTACCTATCAAGACAAACCACATATTCTTCGTTCGTCGTTCACCAACATTGACACACGTACTCCCTCAGTGAACAATTAGTTTGCAGATATTCACCAATGTATAACAACGCAGTATTCGTTAAATATGAGTTCTCTAAATAGAGTGAAATACACTATATATGTAACTCCGGACACAGGAATAAGCTGGGTTCGGGAAAGTCAAATCATGTGCTGATCAAATTTCAGCTCTACTCATCGTCATCGATCAAAGCACAGAATGGCAGTCAAGCCTTTACCTCAACTTCATAGACTTAGAAAAGGCCTTCACCAGACAGCGCACCATTGACTGAGAAATAATTTGGAAATTATTTCAACACTGCGGTCTTTGTCAGCCTCAATCAATAGCTGGCTATATGACAATGTCACGTGTCAGGTGATCCGCGACGGAAAGCTCAGTGAGGCGTTCGAAGCGAACACAGGAGTAAGAGAGGGCTATCTTTTATCACCGATGATACTCCTAATTGTGGTGGATTGGATTGTGCGCCAGACTGTGGGAGGCGAGGAGACAGGAGTACGCTGGACCGCCGATAAGAAGACTCTAGAAGATCTAGAATTCGTAGATGATATATGTCACACAAATTCGAAGAATTACAGGCGAAAACCAACAAGCTGGTTGAGGAAGCAACCGGCGAAGACAGGACTGAAGGCGAACATAGAGAAAAAGGTGATGAAGATAACCAACGAACCGCAACAACCAGCACCAACCACCATCAACGGGAGAGATTTAACAGAGGTTGCCTCCTTCACTTATCTGGAAAGCATCGTTTCAACTACAGGCGGAACAGACGAAGATGTCAAAGTCAGAATCAGAAAGGCAAGACACGCCTTCATCAATCTGAAACCACTATGGAAATATCCCGCGCTCAGCATAAGAGACAAGATTTGCATTTTCAACACCAATGTGAAGTCGACCAGTGCCTCTATACGGGTCAGGAACTTGCACTGCATCTCACGAAAAGGATTTCCAACAGGTTGCAGACTTTCATCAACAGCTGCCACTTTCGTTGGCTGGCTCCATACTAAAGATCAAATGGCCAGTTGGCCAGAAAGAATCAGCACTAAGAGACTGGCTGGTAACAAACCAATCAAGAGCCTGATGCTCAACAAATATGTAGGAGAAAATATAGGTGGATTGGGCATACCCTGAGGAAACCGTCGAATGACATCGCGCGCAATGCAGGCCATCGCTCGAGTGGAATCCAAATGGGAAGCGACGAGTGGGTCGTCCTGGGGTGATGAGGAGGAGATCGTGTGAAGAAGAGATGAGAGTTTGATAAATCGTGAACGCGTCTGAAGAGGAGGGTAGGAAACAGAACAAGTGGAGATGTGTTGTTGAAGCCCTATATCTGGCTCGGTACGCTGGGGAAGAATAATAAGTACCTTAGCTTGTGACGATTCGAAATCATTTGCCTCGTTTAATGAAGTTTCGCTTGGTGAATGTTGCTGTTATTATCTTTAATAAAATTGTGTTATCTATTTTCTGAATAAGTTCATTTGAGGACAACGATATTGGATACTGAAATCAACAGTTTTGGATACGTAGGTCGTCTCAAGGTCGCCTACAGCAAAGATGGTGAAACAATGCCTCTTGGAGGTTTATGGAGTTTTGGGGATTGTAAAGTATGCAGCGTTTCATATTTTCTTAACCACTTAAGAGAGGAGTCAGAGCTATTGCTCAGGACTTTCAAAGATCTGTGCAAAGCTACTAGTTTTGCGGAGGAAGAAACATTCAAGCTTTCTGAATATGAAACAGAGATGCGATGTTTACTGGATGAACGAACTCTTATTCTAAGCCATTTGCGTAGCATTGATCAGGATATATCCACGGTAAGCATATCTCTGTCGGTATACGTGCATAGCTGGTGCTACCTTAGGTATGCATGACATGCAAGTTCCCCCGAAATTATTTAATGCAGTATTCCTATTACATTTCTGTAAAAGTGACATGTCATTATTATGCAACAGTAAATTTTGTTGTTTACATACAGTTTTTATTGTACTCTAACTGGAACAGAAGTATGAAACTCATATCAGACAACTAGATTGTACTTCTGGCATAGCTTCTTGTCGGCTTGCTAATGTCATTACTTTTTTAACGCTACTATTTTAATAAAGACAGCGTCAAAATAGGGTTAGAAGAATTTAACTGTGTAACTTAGTGATACTTGGACTCTGGGTACATTTTTACTATATTTAAATGTGAATTCACATGTCTTTTATATGCATTATCCAGTGGCAAAACAGCGTGCGGGCGTCATTTATGCTCTTCTCTTTTGAGAGGATTCACGGACCTGTAAAAACAATATAATTCCAAGAAGGTATTGTTGGTAATGTGTAGTATTATTCAGTAGTGACTCAAATGCCACTAATAGTCTTATAAGCTTATACGTGCATTGAGTTTGTAGAAATAATGTCAATGATGAACAAATGGCTAATCAACAAAAAAGTATTTCATTCAACTTTTTTATCGAGAGCTATAGTTATATTTTATAAGGATTTAGTCAGATATACTAAAATGACTAAGTATGGAATACATTAAGTTTAGGTTGTTTAAATGTCGACAGCGTATATTGTGGATTGTTGTTACATTGATATTTGCAGTCATCCTATTGGTAAACAAAGCGTCATTGAGTCACAAACACTTAGTGGTGTTTCGGGAAATTTTCGTTCCAAGGTTACGCGCCTTATCTCTAATGAAGGCCTTACTTTGAACAGACTTATGGTCAAGCTTTGGCAGACTATATTATCGACCTATTTTGCGGTCTGAATTGTGAGCATGAGGACGAAATTACTTTGTGATTTTAGATTCAGATTTCAGATTTATTGGTTGAGGATAGAAGGCTTGCAGCCTATGTTAATCCTTTTCTAGTAGATTTCTGTGGTTGTCCAAACCCTTCTTGAACGAATCAGTTGAGGTTGCAGACACCACTTCTTCTGGGAGTCGGTTCCAAGAGTTTATGACTCGATGTGAGAACCAGTACTCAACAGCAATGTGATTTCTCCTTGGCTTTTGAACTTTCCTGCTATGTCCTCTAAGGTGTTCCGACCTGGTGGGAAGGAAAAGAGAGAATAGGTCAGGTCCGTAGTCATTATTTAAAATTTTAAACATTGTGATTAAATCTCCTCTCTGCCTACGGTATGACAGTGAGAAGAGATTTAAACTATCTAGTCTTTCCTCGTATGATAAGTTAGCTATGCCGTGAACCATACGTGTTGCCTTCCTTTGAACACTTTCTAGAATGTGTGAATCCCCTTTTAGACAAGGACTGGCGGCCTGGATGCAGTTTTCCAGTCTTGACCTAACCAGAGATGTGTATAAGGAGGTGAACATATCTCTGGTAATTCTTGTAAAGGCTCTGCGAATCGCCCATAAGGACCTGAAACTACGTGCAGCCACCGCGCGACAGTGTGCTGTAGTTTTTAAGTCGTGGCTAACTATGACACCTAAGTCCAAGTGAGTCTGAACTGATGGAAGTGTTATTCCCTCTAGTTCGTAGGAGCTTGTGCTTGCTTGTCCAATGCGCATGGTTGCACATTTTGCCACATTGATCGGGAGCATCCATTCAACAGACCACTCCGACAATTTGTTGAGGTCCTCTTGCAACGTGAACGTATCACTGTTGCCCTTCAGCTCTCTCCAAATTTTTAAGTCATCTGCGTATAGGACCATAGGGGAGTCGGTGAGCAGAGGTAACTCATTGATATACAGAATAAAAAGGAGAGGACCGAGAACCGTGCCTTGTGGCACTCCGCTACTTACTGCTGTCCAGGAGGAGAGTTTTGAGTTGATCCTAACCCTCTGCCTCCTATCTATGAGGAATTCCCTGAGCCAGTCTAGTAGTCTGCCTTTGATACCAAGACTTTCCAATTTCATGAGTAGTCTTTTGTGAGGTACTTTATCAAAGGCTTTACTGAAGTCTATGAAGACGACGTCAACGGGTCTTCTGTTGTCCTTTGATTTGACCCAGCTTTCTCTTGCAGTCAGGAGATTTGACAGGCATGAGAGGTTCCTCCGGAAGCCATGCTGTGCTCCAGATAACAAGCTGCTATTTTCCAGATAAGCCATGATGCTTTTCTTGATAATTCTTTCCAGTGTCTTGATTAAAGTGCTGGTGAGACTGATAGGCCTGTAATTTGAAGGGCTTTGTCTTGATCCTCCTTTGTGTATGGGGGTTACTATGGCGTCTTTCCAATCACGTGGCAACACTCCATTTAGGAGAGATAGCTTGAAGATCGTGGTCAAGGGGCCGGCTATGTGGGCTGATAGCTCCTTGAGAAGCCTTGGATGAAGACTGTCAGGACCCATTGATTTTCCTGCATCTAGTTTCATTAAGAAGTTGAGCACGATGCCTTGGTCGATGTCAACGGAATCTATCCCATGTTCTTCTGATGCAGCCAGAGCTGATCCTATAGGCAGTGATGACTCCTGAGTGAAGACTTGGGAGAAGTAGTTTGCCATTGCTTCTGCTTTTTCTTGATCTTCTTCGATTGTATCTTTGTCAATAATCAGGTTTGGGACACCATTGGGTGTTTTATTCCTGAAATTCAAGTACGAGAAAATTTTCTTAGGTTGTGCCTTTGCATTTTGAGCCAGGTGTGTCTCGAACTTCATCCTTGATTGGCGGATTTCTGCGATAGCTTTATTTCTAGCAGTATTATATAATTCCCTGGTCTCAGAAGTCTCAAGTGTTGCAAACAGGTTCCAACATTTGCGTTTACGTCTGAGTAACTTACGAATCTCCCGGTTTATCCAAGGGGGGAATGTTTCCGACCCTTTGGAACAGACCAAGGGATGAAAGGTACAGTTACTTGGGCGTAAAGTTGCTTAAATTGGTTCCATGCGGCTTCTACTTGGGACTCTGGATTGATGTACCAGTTTACTGAGTTGGCTGCTGAGACGATCGCATTTATGTCAGCTTTCCAAACGTTTGGTCGAGCTGGGGTTTTGGCCCTTGCTGCCGTTGCTGTGAACTTGAAAGTGAGCACAGCATGGTCACTTCTTCCTAACGGAGGAAGATGTATGAGATCCACATCCTCACCGTGTGAGAACACTAGGTCCAGAGTTGACGAGGAGTGCTGTGAGTCATAGCGCGTGGGCTTAATGATATGTTGGACTAGGGCTAGCGATATACTAGATTCTAGCAGTTTATGATCAAAGGAGTTGACTGAAGATGGAGTTGTTAGGCTCGACCAGTCAACTGTTGGGGCGTTGAAGTCACCGACTACGAGACTTCGACATTTTGAAGTCCAGGAGCCTAGCTTCTCTATTAGGAAGTCGTCTGCACTGCAGTCAGGACTGCGGTACACAGCAATGAGGTCAATGTCTTGGCCTATGCATTTAAGTCTGCAGCGTAGAAGTTCGCACGACTCACTTTCGTGGGCGAGTGCTTCGATACTACGCACGGTTAAGCCTTTCTTGAGGTAGATGACTACGCCCCCCCTTTGCGGTTTAGTCGGTCTACCCTGTGCACTTCGAAGTTTGGCAGGTTAACTTCGTTGTCAGTGACATCGGGTGTGAGCCATGTCTCAGTCCTTTTATTCAACAGGCTGCGGGCGTTTGTGTAGCAGACTGTTAATTCAGACTGGTGCTTTCCCCGCCCATCCACAGAGGTTTCGGGATCATTAAACTGCGAACTCGGACAACCCGAAAACCCTTAGTCTTAAGGTTCTTTTCACCGTTCCGGCGTCGCTCACTTAATTCTAGTGATGGATCTATTTCTTTTAGAAAGTGGTATCTTATCAAAGGTGCTATATCGTTCTGCTAAGTAGTTTTTTACTTTCCGGTCAAGAATTGTAGTATCACATATTAGGATGAAATTACGTTTATTGCGTCAAATTTTTTGCAGTTGGGGACAATAATGCGTCAAGCCTGGTCAGATCGAGAAAAAAATGTTTCTCACACTCAGAAGCTATATAGTGAATATGACAAACTTTTGAGTAGTGTAAATAACCATAGAAAACGATTGCAGATACTACCTCTTCAAAATCAGTACAAAGCGAATGAGACATTGTGGAGTTATAAGTAAGTCTTCGGATTGATATTATATAGCTTAACTTTTTCCTCTTATGGCCTGTAAGCGATACATATATTGATTAACATGTGTAAGACGTGATTTTGTGCAATCCCACATCAGTTTCATAACTGAAAATGTCACAGTGAAAGCATTGCTTATCAGTTGACGTTTCCTACACAGTTATTCATAATTATATTAGTTGTAACGGCAGAACTTCGAAACTTGATTTTCGGGGTCCTCGTTTTTCTTTCCATTCATCGTAAGGGTGAGAGTTTTCCAGACGTGTAGAACAGGTATTAAATCATTCTTATTGCACATATCCTCAGAATATGAACAGCAAAAATCAGGTTTCAAAGATATCTAGTTACAATCGGTATAATTTCGAACAAAAAATTAGAAACGCTGTGCAGTAAACAAACTGCTGCACGGATAAAGAAGGCTCGTTTGGCGTATGCTAACTTCCTCCATCTCTGGCGTGGACATCATATCCGACTGTAGACCAAAGGGCGTGTTTACTGCTCAACAGTTCTCTCCGTTCTTCTTTATAGCTGTGAGATGTGACTATTGAAAGTGGAAGAAGTGAAAATGTTAGTTCTCTTTGGTCATAGGTATTTGCGTCCTATGCACCTGTTAAGTGGTATAATAGATTCAGTAATATTGAATTCAGGCCTTGAGTGGGGGGAAATCAATCAACGAGTTTGTGAGATGGTTAGAACATGTGTTACGTATACCTAGCCATTGCCTTCCTCGACGGGCAATGTTAGCTGACATAGGGTCAGGTTGGAAAAGAGCCAGTGGTGGTCGGACTAACACATGGCTTCATCAGTCAATGAAATTCACAACGGTTATTTTAAGCCACGTAGGAAGGTGTAGACTTCCTGGTTGGGGTCCTCGGGTTGGTAAGAACTATCGCCAGCTGGAGACAATCTGAGATATGGCTCAAAATCGTTCTCGATGATGGCGCAGATGCACTCACTCTTGTAATTTGCCATACTCAATAAAACTATGTTGTCCTTCCATATTACTATTCTCTTTCAGAATTCTGTTTACTATCTCTCCTTTAATTCTCTGTTTACTTTGTTCTCTTTCTTTATAAACTACATGGAGTGAGCCACTCGAACTGCTACATATCTGTGCAAAGTTCTACGTTGAAACCAGTCAGTCACTTTGTGATATATCCAGTTGATTTGGGATATGTAGTAATTGTCTTGGTGTGTTGATTAACAGCAAGATAGCGGACTTAAGCACGCCTCTCTGTCCACTAACTTTTCCATGCCTGGATTAAAAGAACAGTATTTAGCAATCAAGGTAATTATATGTGGGATGAAATTTCCGTGCCTTTCTTACTTCTGCACACTTCCTTAAATACAAAGAGAATCCTAACGTCTTTTAGCCATAATTTTTCAAAATCAGGAAGATCGGATAGCGTTACAAGTCACATTTGATTATAGACCATCAAATGTGATGTCTTTTAAAACATAGGGTTTACTGAATCATAGTTTAGTTTGTGATTGAATGTTTCAAGTTGGTATTGTCTTGTTCCAATAGTTAAGTTATTTGGGGTGTAACTGCTATTTGTTGAGACTATCAAGTAGGAGGTTTCGGGCATGTGAAAGTGTGCAGTTGTGATTCATTGACGTACACTTTCAACTATCAAACACTTAGTATCACTCTCTGTCAACCTTCAAGCGGCAAAATAGTTTAATTGAATCTCGAATTACGCTTGGTTCATTGCTAAATACGCGACCATATACAAAACTGCAGTCAGGGAACTGACTCGATTGCTTGGAAGGTCTAGGTGAATAAGTGTCCCATCGTTGTGAAGTGATGAAAATGTTTTACTTGTCACTGGTTGCTGCCTTACCTCATAGAATCTGTGAAACGCATTAAATTTCAGTTGTCGAAGCAACTGGTAGAGTTTCGAAGGCAAGTCTACATTTCATCTGTTATTAGAACACAATAATCCCTGAATTTCTTGATATTAGGACTGCCTTCGATTCATTAGATGTAACTCTTTCTAATTGTCTGTTAGAGGGAAGTGTCTATAAGCAGTTTACTAGCACTCACCCAACAAACCTAAGGTAATTTGGGGAAACAACGACCTATCATAACCGTTATCGACTAGTATCGGGATCGATCACTCTCGTAAATTGTTTTGTTGCCTCCCCGCCAGTGGAACTCTAAAAGATGTGAGTCATTTTGCTCTGTTACTGATAGATATCCTTTCTCTGTGCGATACCAAATCGAACTTAACCCATTCACATAAACTGGCTATAGTTTGTATGGTATTTTATTTACATCGTCCAAAGCATAGTATTTTTAAGAGTTTGTAAGGATCCACTAAAGTAACTCACTCTCACAATTAAACCGTTAGAAGTAAAAAAATTTCACTTATCCCGGTAGTTATGTAAATGCCAGTAAAAGCGAGAGAGATGAAGTTTCTAATAGTGAAGTGAAAAGTACGCTGTCGTGTGCCAACTTGGACCACCACCGGCGAGGTGAGTTTGGCCCTACAAAGTCCAATTTATGACGCCTCAGAGCGGCCAGTCTTGCTCTACGTCTTCGAAGCCTAGTCCTCGAGTTGAGAAGGTACGTCAACTTGTATGTCTAGTTATCAATGTCTCCGTAGAGCTAGATATTTGCAAAGCGTTTAGTCACATGACCTAACACATAACAGGTATTTTATTGCGTACGATGTCTCCTTTCAGTCCTGATTCATTTGGGATTTTCAGGAATCTTACCGGAACTACAGGAAATGAAATAAACGTGTCAAGTGTTGATTTACGTGGAAGTTATTTGGATCAAAAGCAGTCTATTTCAATTAGTGAACGTGAAAATCAGCCTAAACCAAATGAGATGATTCAAAGCAAGACCAAGTTACTACAGAAGTCCGAAACGAAGACAAATAGCAAAGGTTCCAAGGAAGTGCAGACTTCAAAGTGGGACTCATGTAACAACCATGAAACACAAATTCATCCTAGTGAGATACCAGTGACAGCCATTTTTACTCCATTCACCATGGGAGCAGGAACTACTAGAAATGGTAAACTATTTGTTACATTACCTTTTCTCGTCAATGAGTTCATGTAAATATTTTAGTCATAGTCAAGAAGTTTATTAGTGGGTTATCACACTGAAAATGGTATGTATACATTTCAGATTTGACCACTTGACTGGGTGTTTAAAATTCCCTGATAAATTGAACTGAACCTTGATTTTCTGTATTATTAAGAACCACTTGACTAATAGTTGAAGGAATTGTTTATAATCAAATTCAACGTATTAAGCCATCAAAATATGTTGGTAGACAGGTGGCCGTGGCGCAAAACGCATAGCAATTGCGTTTCTTAGGTTATTTAACAATCAGTCTTTTGCAAACAAATCTTAAAGTGCTTAACGTAATGGTGACTAATTAAATCTGTTACATCACATCATTGTCACGCTTATACATTATATTACACATCGTATCTTCCTTTCTACTCCCTGATCTACGGCTATTCATATGCATTTAGGAGAGAAATCTATCGAAAGAAGCCTAGAGTCGTATATCGGATTTATCTTTTTGACGGAGCATCAGTCACTGAGTAATGTTATAGTAACAACTTATATGCCAGTATCGTAAGAAGGTAGTCATAGTTTCAAGTTGTTTGCATAGATCTGTCTCCTATTACTTATTGGTGTTGTGTCATTATTCTTACACGCACTGATTTTAATGGACAAATGTCTCAAAATAAATTTCGCCTCGCTAATGTTGATGTTTCAAACTGTTAATTTCTCCCAGCTTGATGTATGCCAATATATATTTTGTTGAAACTGTATTCCTTTAGCCAAATTACCTTAGTCAGAATTCATTTGCTTGAAATAAATTTATAATGTACCAGGTTGTGAGCCACACTTATTGTGTGGAAGCTAGTGATACCAGTCATTTGACGAGGTCGAAATCAGCGAAACTTAAACCTGTAACCAACTGCGTGAAAGTCAGGTGTTTAAACCACATTTCCAAAGTCTAATTACCTACGCAGTTTTCTACTATATGATAACTCTGACCAACTAGTTTGGCTTAAATACCTGACTTTATAATCACTGTGTTGTATTCTGCACATTTAGCGTTCGTGTAGTACGATACGAAGTTGTGACATAATGTCTTCTTCCTTCACAACAACACTATTAGATTTAATTCTTTCGAACTGGTGTTGCAGTTACCATGCACGTAATCAGTACCCGTTTTCTTTTGTATTCTTGACGATCTCTAAGACGTAATTGTTGAATATTGGCGTTTCTCATTGCCTTGCTTAGATTCGGTAATTTACCAGACAGGTTTTAGACTCTGTCTCATTTGACTTTGATAAAACTGTTGACTAGGACTATTTAAATTCAGTAGGATGCGGTTGTTTTCGCTTGGCAATAGTGTCTAACCTAATATTTTCTCTGTATTTTAGAAAGTGTATAACTGCTTCATTTCAGGCATACAAGTCAAATATGAAAATGAATTTTACACGCAATATTAAGATGTAGACTAGTGTTCATAAATTAGAATATAATGTAGGGTGAGTACATCTTTACTTTTTTAAGCCGTTTTTCCAAGAATAGCACACCGCTGACTGCCACATTGAAGACTCTAACTAGATGTCTGCACCTACACAGACGACTCAAACCAATAATCAGAGACTTTCATAGGTTGATTTCATTTATCATCTGGCTACTAATATCTCTTTTTCAAACTAAATCTATCTCAGTTGATGTCACTGTTTCAGATAGAATATGTCCTAAACACCAGGTAGTATATCTGAACCGACCCACGATGTTTACAGAGATATAGATTACAAAGTTCGACTATCCTTAAAAGACACTTAGCGTATTGTTTTACAATCAAATGACTACTATTTTGCTTTCCTTCTAGACAATCAAAGGTGTGATGCTGACTCATTTTATAACGAAGAAAGAGGGAAGTGCGAACGTGGCGTGCACAGTAGCAACCTTCCGTTGTCTAACAATGAACCTTTTCAGGTTAATTTCCGCAGTCATGCAGGTGTATCTGACTGTAATTTGGACCAGATTAGTTCAGAGTCTCCATCAACATCCATTCAAAACCAAATGAGATCAGTTAGTGTAGATTTAAGCCAGTCACTACTCCATCCAAATGAATCTCAGCTGATTGCACAATGCCCACCAATGAAAACATGTCAAGCATGCCAGCAGTTAATCCACCGAAATGCTCCAATATGCCCTTTGTGCAAAACCAAAAGTAGGTCAAGACATCCGAAGAAGCCGAAATCACGTCCCAACACGCAGGTTACTGACGTACCAGATTCTACAAGCATTTTTCTGACATCGGATGCAGTACGTGATCACAATGAATAAGAAGTTGCTAATGTGATTGGTTACTAAATATTTTCGGTCTTTTCTTCTACGATTTCCTTAATTGCATTTTACCTTATACGTCACATAATAATCACGATAACACTTCTTAATATGTATTTAATAATTTTTCAGTTTATGTTTGAAAGTAAATAATCTGCATATACACAAACTTATTTTAAACTCCGTCACTGTTTTAATTCTCCAATGCATGTATAGGTCTTCAGTGTACATGTCTAGTATCTAGTCAAAGAGAGGATTGTGCTATTTATCTCTTGTATAAGCAATTAAAACTTTTGACCGACAATACTACTGCGTGGGGCATCAGCAAATTATAATATCGCCTGATAATCCCGGTCTATCTAATGATTAAATTTGTAGTTATGCTATATTTTTAAGTCTGAGACATGTGAACTTCTACAAACAATAGGCCACGAGTGATAGGTAGGCATGCATAAAAATTTAATTTTTAGAGACCTCAGGAATAATAGGACGAACTGTAACAACGTGATGTTCGACAAACTCGTCAGGGAAATAAACAACATTGTACTGATTAACTTAAAAATAACAGCGTTATGGTCTTAATAACTACTGGTTTTCGACTCGTAAAAACTGTTTGACATAACGGGGAATACTTATAGATGACCTAGTAGATATTTTATCAGAAATTGCTTCACTGGACACAACTTTCAACCTGCAGCATCCCTAGTAAATTCGATAAATCCTCCAATGACATTATTTGTGGCGACTGATTAGTTGTTGTAGATCTGCCTAGAGCTAGTTCAGTAATAAATAACATTTAACAGTAATTCTGTTACGAGCTTATAAATTCAGACAGGCATAAATAGAAAAGTGGCTCAAAATAAGGTCATGTCATCTGTTGGGGAAAGAGGGAAGATCAATCGACGAGGCTATAAAGTTACATAGATTGAGATGGCTAGATCACGTGCTGCACATGCCTAACCATCGCCTCCCCCGACGGGCTTTGCTAGCTGATATAGGTGTAGGTTGGAAAAGAACCAGTGGTGGTCAAACAAAAACATGTCATCAATCCATGAAATCCTTGACAGTTAAACTGAGTCAGGTAGGGAGATGCAGACTTCCGGGTTGGGGCCCTCGGGACTCCAGGAATCAATGTTTGGAAACAATAGGTGACATGGCTCAAAATCGTTGTCAATGGCGCAGATGTATTCAGTTTCTGTAATCTCTCATATTTCTTTCTACCATTACCCATTCTGTTTCGCTCTTATGCTTGTCAAACTCTATTGATTCTCTTTACTCATCTTCTTGTCTACCTTTGTGTGCTATTTGGAACGTGGCAACTCGAACTGCCGCACTTCAGTGCCAAGTTCTATGTTGAATCTAGACAGACAAACATGTCATCTGCTAGTCAAATGCAAGATAAGACTGCAAGATTGGTCCACATCGACTCCTAGTCTGAAGACAGATTGTATAATGACTCAGTATGTTGATACTTACCAACTCATTTAGGAAGTTGCACCAACTCTAATGGACTAGTCGCTAATGTAGTTATCGTGATTAACAGTCTCTATTACTGTATTGTTTGAATACTCATTGTTTGTTAATATTCCTCATAATAATACAATACAAATAATTCTGCCAAATACGAATTCCTGCCTTCTGTCCTCTGTGTTGTTCTCTAATTTCCTGGAATTCGATGATTGCGAAATGCAGTTATAAAAAAAGTATTAAAGTAATCTCAGCACGGATAATAAAGCCTTGTATGATTCCTGCAAACTTGTTCTAGAACATAGGTATTCCTACTGGCGTCCAACAATCATTGTATTTCTTGACCTAAAGGCGGCCTGCGATTCTGTCGACCGACAGGTTCTCTGGCGATGCTTGGCTGTAAAGGGAATGCTGAGAAAATACATTGCACTGATTAAGGCACTCTACTGGTACTCATGCAGCCAGGTGAGGGCTTACGACTAGTGGTGTCCGTCAGGGATGCACACTATCCCCATGTCTGTTCAATTTCGTCATAGATGTACTAATGGACTTAACTCTAACTCACTTCAGCGACTCAGGGATTGACTTGCTACCAGGGAATAATCTCGTTGACTTAGAATATTCAGACGATATAGTCCTTCCTGCTAGGCGAGGACGCTGACAAAATGCAGAGTCTTCTGAACACCTTGAGCTGCAATCTACGAATGTTTGGCATGCGATTCGCTCCCTCCAAATGTAAGATGATGTTACAGAACTAGACTACATTGACTCCTAGTTTAGAAATATGGAGTGAAGTGTTAGAGCACGTTGACCGCTTCACTTATTTGGGAAGTACCATCAGCCAACGCCAGCGGGTTGATCTCTGACGAAATCTCAGCACGGATACAGGGGGCTCGTTTCGCATATGCCAGTTTACGCCGTCTCTGGCGTAGACGTGATATCCGACTATCAACCAAAAAGGGCGGGTGAACTGCTCATCGGTCCGCTCCGTCCTCCTTTATGGCCATCTGTGAGACCTGGCCATTGAGAGTGGAAGACATGAAAAGATTAGCTGTCTTTGATCATAGGTACCTGCGTTCTATTTCCCGTGTGAAGTGGTATAATAAGATGAGCACTATTAAGGTTAGGCATCGAGTTCTAGGTAAGCAGGGAAATCAATCGACGAGGTTGTGAAGTTACATAGACTGAGATGGTTAGGACGTGTGTAACGTATGCCTAGTCATCGCCTTCCTCGACGCCCAATGTTAGTTGATATAGGGTCAGGTTGGAAAAGAGCTAGCGGCGGTCAAACCAAAACATGGCCTCACCAGTCAATGAAATCTACAACAGTTAGTCTAAGCCAGTGACGTAGGAAGGTGTAGACTTTCTCACTGGTTGGGGTCCTCGGGACGGTAAAAACCAATGGCTGGAAACAATTGGTGACATGGCTCAAAGTCATTCTCAATGGCTGGCGGAGATGCATCCATTCCTTGTGACTTATGATTTCCAATGAAACTGTTTTGTTCTTCGTTATTACTCTTCCTTTGTCTGACACCTCTGCTTACTGTCTCTATTATGCTTTTCTTGTACTTTCTTCTCCTGCTTTGTGTGCTACAAAGAGGGAGTGTGGCGACTTGAACTTCCGCATATATGTGCAGTGTTCTATGTCGAAAACAGACAGACATGCAAACTTGCATCATCCTTGAAAAGGTGTGAAATCCAGCTAACTTGTCGAACAACACGTGTATGATGTTCAGCCGACCGCTCCGTCCTCCTTTACGGGATGTAGTTGCCAAAAGTTTAAAAAAGGGATCTAGCTACAGATTTCTGTAGACGGACGCCTTCGTTTAATACCTCGACTCAAGGTATAGCAACGAAATAAGCAATAATAAGTTTAGAAATTAAGGCATATGTAGAGATTGTGGACAACAATATGAGGTTGCGAATATCCACTAATTGAAGTAAACAGGACATGTGTTATGAGTGCCGAGTCACCACTATTTTGCTACGAGCGATGTTAACAGCAGCATATTTAAAGAGTTAGTGGTGGTCAGACGAAAACCTTGTTGGTGTGGGGCGGAAAATGTCTGTTTAATCATTCTCTCACCTGTGCATTTTCGTGAGTTGTAAATTTATTGCATTATTTCTCTTAACTCGATATACGATGGCTTGAAGTCATGTGATAAATACTAAGTATTAAGAAGACAAATTTCGCGAGATGATATCATTTCGTATTTTCTTTACAACCGCTTTACAACTAACATGGTTCACAATTATAAAGATCATGACAATTATTCAGTTAAATAAGAAACAAAAGTACATACTAATGACCAATCATATTTAAATAGGTCATGTAGTCCATGGTAGGCGAAGATTGAAGCCTATTGTTTTTTGTACATACAGTTTAGGCTATGCGTGATTAATCCAAAGTGCTTCCATCACCTTCAATAACCTTGAATTAGAGTTATGTGAAATAATTGTGAAACAGTCATTAATATTGATTTTGTGACCTGACATTAATTAGTGTTTTGCAATGGATGATGACGCTGGATTTCTATTCAGATTAATCGCATTGGGATTTTCTATATGATTTAGTAGCCATTTTGGAACATGTTCTTTTCGACGACATTGGAACATTCTGTTGGTTCTACCTATATAGGTGTCACCGCAGCTGCAGGTGAACTTGTAGATACAGTCTGAAGTAGAGTCCACAGAATTTCATCCTTTAATCGTAGGTACAGGGATCGAAAATGTTCGGCAAGTGAGAAAAGGAGATTCGGCGTAGTATGTGCGTTTGGTGGCCGACCGAAGTCTTTGAGCTGTCAAATGCATAATCTGATCGCCCTTGAATGGTAGGTTAATAAAGATAGGTTTCTTTGGTACAGGAGTTGTCTTTTCGAGATGTGGTCTTTCTTTACTGTGAACAGTGATTTGTCTTCTTAATGCCTTATTCAAATTTATCAAAGGGACTAATTGTTTTAAATACTAAGCAGATACGTTAACCAAACGAAAACATTCTTCGTTGAGGGAAATGTAATTCAACTTAAGTGGCAATTAGATGGTAATGGTCAAATCAAGAACTAGAAAGCAGTTTGATATAGTGTGAGATGGTCAAAAAGAGATAACTAGCAATTCTTTGAAACACACTTGGCAAAATATGAGCACCAATAGGTGTGTCAGACAGATAATGGGAAACAGACAGAAAAGAACCATATTATTTGAGGAAAAAGAAAAGAAACTTGAAAGTACATTCAACACCACTAAGGGGCGATCGTCAATGCATTCAACTTTCAGAAAGAGAAGAAAAGATGATATTAGAACATGCTTCCAGTTGATTTGACCGAGACATATGTGACGTCCCCAGACACTGACTTGCATAATCTCCTGGAGTCCGCCCAGCCAATTGTGATTGGACAACCAGTGCTAACTCACCACAGCCTATCATTCATCTGACGGCATCATCGCCTGACCACATATATTTTCTTAGTCATTTGCAAGGCTGGCAAACAGTAAGCAGACCGCGGGAACAACATTCGTAGCATGTCTTCAAATCACCAAAGCAGGTTTCTGGAGATGACATCACTTATTGAAAGACAATCTACGTCGTAAACAAACTTGTGTCATCAAAATAAAAGTTCTCAACCATGAATCGAAGGCAACCCTTACATTAAGAAATAAAGGTATTGTTGCTTTTCGATAAATGTCATGGTGTTCTAGCAACTGATGAAGAGTAAACACATCATCTATGTACAGAATACCTTAAAGGAACCCGTCCTGCTCTTCGTGAACGTATCTTGAGTGCGTCTTAAGGGGTCTACGAAGTACGACAGTAACCGCCAACAGGTAGACAATATTTTCATCGTCCCCAGACAGTCGGGTCAGTTCCGTATATGTATATATTCGCATATTTAGCAATGAGCCAAACATAATGTGAGATTCAATTACACATTTCCCGAAACCCCTAACTGACAGTCGCACCACACAACAGTCCCTCATTTTTTCCAGATGTGTTACGAGCGTATAAATGAGACTACCATTTGCCTCATTGACCGTCTGTCTCTTTCCATGCCTTTTGTGTTAGTAGTTGTGATAGAGGCATCTGCTGCTTCCAAGTAATACTCAGGTTTTGACTAAAAGGCTTTACGCTCCCTGTAGGATTAATTTTGCCTACAAATCCAGTCCTTCCGCCAGTACTGACAACTCAGAGTCTTGACCTAACTATAGTTAAAAACACAGTGACAACTTAAACTTCTTCTGTTTCTAAAACATAAAATAAATCAGACAATTAATTACACCAAGAAAAATATATAAACCCATTGTCACTCAAGAAAAGACAAAAACAAATACCGGAAAGTATTATTGAGGGAACGGACAAAATGAACAGTTAATTGATTACATGTACACACAAATAAATTGACAGAAAACAAAGAACACTCAGAGTCTCATCATGTGGTGTGAGTTACATTAAATTAACCAATAATCGCGATAAGAAGATCATATTATATTGATTGGCTGTCTATCAAACAATCCATCTATCTGTCGCGATTAACATTCCCCGCGGACGACCACCACGTTGACTTCTCGTATCTGGAACCTTCAAGTTGTCTGCTTCTTCCAACAAACATATGCTTCTGATATTTCGTTTAACTTCTTCAGTTGCAGTTTTCAAACGCACCGTCCTGACGCGTCCACTTTGGTCATAGTACACCTGCTTAACTGTAGCTTTGGGCCAGAGACTGTTAACTAGGACGAGATCACCAGGTTGTAGTTTACACTTTATATCCAACCATTTAGACCTTGTTTGCAGCATCGGAAGATATTCACTTAGCCATCTATGCCAGAACAAATCAGTCAAATGTTGTCCTTCCTCCCATCTTTTATTATACAGTGACGTTCTACTAGCTTCTATTCCGTCAAACATCAATTGTTTATGAAGTAACAATAATTTATTCGGAGTCAGTACACTTAGTTCATCGCCGTAACCTGTGAACCTTACCAACAGTCGACTGTTCAAAATTCCTTCAGACTCCACCAAGAATGTTTCCAGTGTTTCGTCTGTCAGCACTTTCTGAAACAGTAGCGTCCGTAAGATCTTTCTAACGGATCTAATAACGCGCTCCCATACACCTCCACGATGACTGGTACTAGGTGGATTGAAATCCCATTCACATCC